TTTGGCTAAAAAATAACTGTAACTAGTTATATTTTTAAAATTGTAACTAGTTATAATTTTTGAAATGTAACTGCCAAAAGTAACTAGTTACTTTTAAAGATATATTCATATAATTAATTTTATTTTTAATATGTTGTGATAAATTAATTTTAAATTAAATTTATTTTTTAAATTAAATTTATTAATTTAAAATTTTGAGAAAATGTCTGATTGTTATAATTTCCCCTTCAAATTGATTTTCTTTACTTAAATTGTTACATTCCTGCTGGGCTTCATAATTTTGTAAGCAAAAAGTAATTTACTAAATTTTAATATTATATTTATTTACAAATGTAGCACAATATATTTTTTTCCGTCAAGTAACAAGCATTGAAACTTAAATATCATACGTAATAAAAAAAATTTAAAATTTAGTATAAGGAAAAACAAAGACAGATTATTTTAGAATTTAATATTAAATTATTAATCATTACTTACAAGAACCAAGTCTAACAAAAATATCATGTTATAGGTTTTATAATCTTTATGATAATGACAACATCATTGCTGCAATTCTTCACCCTTTATTTAAAACTGACTTGCCTTGGATTAGGCAAGAAAGGAATAAATCAAAAAAAGGAGGAAATTTTATAATTTAATAAATACCTTAATACCTCAAAGTGAATCCCAGACGAATGAATCATGCTCAAAACCAACATCACTTGATGTAGTTGGATTTTTTGACCTAATGCGCCAAAATATTCTGGATAATGAACTTATAGAAAACTTTATCAAATCTAATAACAACATTTTTTCTTTATATAACGATTTTCCAAAGTTAAAATTACTCTTTATTAAATATAATGTTGTTCTAACATCAAGTGCTCCCGTAGAGCGCTTGTTCAGTCTAGGTAAGCTCATTTTTGGAGATAAACGAGCACGTCTCCTAGATAATAACTTTGAAATTAATTGTTGTTAAAAGCAAATAAACATTTATTAGATTCTAATTTTTATGAAAAATAAATGTTTTTTTTTCATTGCAAATATATATTTTTATATTCGATGTAAATATTCAATTTTGCGATATTTTTTTATATAAATAAATTGTATATTATTTTAAATAACTGATTATACTTTGTTTATCCTAATTTTTTTTTATTAAATAAATGCATTCAATAAATAAATAATGCGCATATGAATGATGTATAAAGTAAGTAACTAGTTACTTTTGAAAATAACTGTAACTAATAACTAGTTACTTTTGTAAAAATGTAACTAGTAACTGTAACTAGTTATGTTTCAAAAGTAACTTTTAACATCACTACTATTACCGTACCTAATGGTATTCTTGATGCGTAGAAATCGTTGCGATTTTTTCAGATCATTACACTGACATTTTTTGAGTACCTCATATCTTTTTACCCCATTAAAATAGATATAAATCTCATCTAGTATTCCTAGAACATTTCGAAGTTCTTTAATTGATTGGCATAATTGAACAATGATTAAATTTAATCAATGACAATAACACCAAATAAAAGCTGCTTTGGCGCCTCTGCTCTAATCAAGGCCCACACACCATTGATTCTTCCACTCATGTTTGAGGCGCCATCATAACTTTACCCAACTAGGAATTCAAGGGGTAAATTCATCGAGCCAAGTTTGGATATTATATTATGCTTAATATCGAGACCTGTGGTATTTCCCGTACAATATATGTCAATCAGTCTTTCAACAGGCTTCGGCGTCTCATTATTTTCAACATATCTTACTGTCAAAGCTATTGCTTCTGATTTCGAAACATCATATGTGCCATCAACTATGATTGAAAAGCACCTGTTAAATTCAATCTCATTTTGAATTTTTTTTATAACCATATTTTTCATGGTTTAATGAGAATATTTATGTTATTATATGTTAATAGATTTGCATATGATTTCGTTTTTAATCCCTTATTGTTTTTTCCCAGTACAGGTTCAGAAACTGCAATGAGTTTAATAAGGCCCATCATATTGCCTTCTTGTAGCCTGCTCCCCCAGAAGGCTTGGTTATGAGATATTAAATAACCTAGACATCTTATTAATATTCTTATGATAGAACAGTTATTATCCACACATTCTTTCTGGGGTATTATAAATTGCGATATGGAATTTTTTTGTGTGAAATTTTTCATAAACGACCATCATATGTGCCTGTGAAGATTCATGCACAATAATATCACTATTAAATTTTATGATCATTAAAAGAGTCAGATATTATATTTTCTTCAAACACATTTTAATTGGAAAAATAATTTATGACATGAAATCTCGGAAAGCAACCTAATTTACTAAACATCGATCTAAAATTTCCGTCAATACATATTAAATTAATAAATAAGTGGGGAGGGGGGGGGGGGTCTTATTATTACATACATAAACCAGAAATCAATTGGTTATGGATGGATGTAGCAAAACAATAAAAAAAAAATTTTAAATATTAAAATAAAAATTTTTTTTTAAAATGTACCCCCATTCAAATAATTTTTATTTTTACCAGATTTTGTTGGGTAAAAGAATATAATTTATTAAATTTAGACTTTACAGCTAAAAATTTCTTTTTCACTAGATCATAATTCAAGTTGCCTTTTTCCTATTATTTCCTCTCAAATTTTCCTATTTTCTACGAATCTCTGAATTTTAAGTCATTTTTGCAGAGGTCCATAAAATTATATTCTGACACTAAATAATATATTAATATAAAAGGCTAAAATCGTTTGGGTTAGTAAATTTATAAGAATTAACAACATTAAAAATTGTTCTTTAATTTTTTTTTGAATAAATTTTTATTCGAATTTATTTTTTTTATTATTTTTTAAAAAATTTTTTTTTTTTATAAATATCGAAAAATGAAATTGGACACCTTTACATTAAAAATAGCTTATGTTATTTTTTTCTTCAAATTTATTTTTATGATTTTGGACGCAACCTTATATAGCAATTTTCTAAATTATAAAACTTTTTGTAGAGGGTAATAATACTGAAATTTTTTTATTAGATGCTTAAAAAATTGAAAGAATGGCCATAATTAAATTTTACAATAGCAGGCTTGGGTTAAATTTTTTTTTTAAATAATGGGTAGGCGAGTAAAAAATTTTAGACTAATGGGCGGGCGGGCGGGTAAGGAATTTTAGACGATGGGCGGGCTGTTAAATCTTTTAAAAAACATTATGGCGGGCTTATTGTTCAAAAACCCGTCCAATATAGACCTCTATTACGGATCTCTATTGAGCTGTACAGCTAAAATAATAGTCTAACTTCAGTTTAATTATATTTATATAAGAAAAGTGTAAATTTTATTTTTGAAAAATCTCTCTTTACGCTAATTTGAATAACCGAGACTGAATAATATTAGATAATTTATATAAATCGGGGAATCTATTATTCTGAATTTGCCAATAGTCTAAGCTATATATTAATCAAATATGATATTTCTAATATTTTCTGATAGTTCTAATAGATTTTGTTTATACGATCCTTTTTTTTAAGAATTTTTTTTATTTTAGCAAAATATACTAGTAATAATTTCACAATATTTTATCAGCATAAAAGCAAATTCGAAGCGGTTCACAAGAATTTTTTCCGGTTCGGTTCAGATTTGGATAAAAAATTATTTAACAGGTTCGATAAAAAAATATCGGTTATTACACGTTTAAGGTTTTGTAAAAGTTCGGTTTGAATCCCAGAGTAGATTAGTAAAATTGAATATGATTGAAAGTAGTTCAATAAACAATTTATTTGTGTTTAATTATTTATTTAAAATGTTACTATCATCAATAACTATATACCAAACTTATAATATTAAATTACACAACTATAAATTTTTTTAAAATATTTAATGATGAAGTAAATAAAAAAATCATAATAACAAAAAGACAATATTGAGCTTAAATAATAAAATAGTGTAAAATACAAATTAAATAAAAGCCAAACCAGCACAATTATTATAAATCCTCTTCCTTTAATCATCAGGAGAGATCGAAATGATAAAACAAACATAATTAGCCTTAAGAATCGCTGTTGCGATTCTTTGCCTTAAGTAAAAGCCTTCGCGACGTTCTCCAGAATTTTTCCTGATTAAGCGGCCGACGTCTTTAAAAAACTTCTTAACCAAATCACCATATTTGTTAAAGTGGAGCAGATGATTGGTATGTAGTGTTGTTAATTAGTCGAGTTCTTTCGACTACGACTAATAGTCGTAGTCATGGAAATCGACTAAAAACTTTAGCGACTAAATTAGTCTATGTCAACTAATTTGGTCGACTAATTTAATCGACTAAAACGACTAATTAGTCGACTAAAACGACTAATATAGTCGACTAAAACGACTAATATAGTCGACTAAAACTACTAACATAGTCGAAACGACTAATTTAGTCGACTAAAACATTAATATAGTCGACTAAAACAACTAATTTAGTCGACTAAGTTGATTTTTTTAGTTAGCAGCATATATAGGTAAAGGTAAAAATATATATCTTAAACATATTAAGTTAAAATTTCAGTGAAGATGTACCATAGAAAGGTGACAATTGTCATAATCGTTATTTTTGAACTTTTTTGAATTTTTTTTAAAGTAAATAGGTAAAAATATATATTGTAAAGATTAGACATGTGCGCCGACAGCATTTTCGGCGGCGGCGTTTCTTTTTTTAAAATGATCGGCTGGTGGCGGCAAATCGATTTAGACGCCGCCACAAAAATCGGCGGCGGCGCGGCAGCGTCAAATATTTTTCTAACTTAAATTTTTTAAAGTAAATTTATAAATTCATTGGAAACACTTTTAAAATAAAATTTATACTTTATTATGTTTATAACTATAATTTAATGATTTTATTAAGTTATAATTATCATGAATAAATATTATTTTATTAAGATTTAAAGGACATAATAATGATCTTTTAGAGTTCAGAGTGAGCCCAGCTATAGAAAATACACGCTCGCTGGGTGTGCTTGTAGCTGGAACGCACAGGACCTTTCTAGCTAATATTGAAAGTTTAGGACCAATGCTCTTATCTTCCAAAAATCTAAGACATCTTTTATCTCCAAATTATAAGGCGAAAATAATGAATAACACTCTTTTTCTAAACTAGTTAAATAGTGTTGTTGTTCCAGGTTATTGTTTTGAATAGATGAATGCTTCGTAGCCGATGACTTAAGATAATCGAGTTTTGAAGCAACTTCCGTCTTTTTACATTCGTTTAATTCATCCGTGTAAGACCGTAGAGAGGTAGCGTGTTGACATAAAAATTCAACCGGAGTAATATTTTTTTCCTTTAAATATTCATTTACTATGTTTATTGATTGAAAACGAGGATCCAAAAGTGCTCCTAACACCTAAGTAAAAAAAATAAAAGAAAGAATAATGTATAAAAAATAATTTATGTATAAATACTACCTGAAGATCGGTTATTGGAAATCTATGATCAAATTTAGTAAGCATATTTTGTTTAAGGGATGCTATGGGTGGACTATCATTTTCTTTTACAATTAAATGATTTTTAATTTCACTACGAAATAATAAGGCTAAATTTATAGTAACTTTTTTTTGGACAGATAAAAATTCAACAGTTTGTTTGAAGGTTTTAAGAAAATTTAAAAGTTCATACACCAAGTCCCAATCGGAGTTAAATAATTTGAGATCCGGTTTCTCCATTCTATTTAATAGAATATTTATAGGATTTTTGTTATTGCCAGTCACACTTTCCAGCATTATTAAAATACTATGCCAACGTGTAGGCACATTTAATTTTAAGGTTTTATGTTTTTTCTCATATGATTTTTGATTTTCACTATCATCATCATACCCCAAACGATCTTCATAAAAAGGATCATTATCATCCAAATCTAAAATATACGATGTATATGATATCGATTCAAAACATTTTCTATATCGTTTATATTTTCAAAATCCGCTGTTTTGAATCTTAAGGCAACTATAACTTCTCTAACTTTTTTAATGAGATTTTCAATTTTATTAACTTTTTTTATTCCATCGACTATCACTAGATTATGTAATCCATGCCCCAAACATAAATGATGGTCATATTCTCCTAGACGAACACTTTTCTTTACATTGGGTCCTGCATCCGTAACCATTTGAATTTTCTTGGACCCTAAATCAAATTCATTTTCAACTTTTTCTATTTCGGAAAGAATAGTTTCAGCGGTATGTTTTTGGGTGACATGATGTGTCGCCAATGTATAAAATACAATATTAAAATTATTATCTATTTCGTGAAAAGTAAAGGTGATATAATTTCGCCGTCTATATTTGTCTGTCCACATATCAAAAGTTATAGCACAAAATTTAGGACCTACATTAATTTGTTGGCATATGTATGCTTTCATTGATAAATAAACATCATCTAATCCACTCCGGCTAAGTGTAGTTCTGTCAGGTAATTCTTTGGCATCTGAAATAATGCCATATTTCTACATAATAAAAAGTTACTAATAAAATATTATGCCATAAAAAATTCTAAATGTGGGATGTTATAAAATAATTAAATAACTTAACAAATAAAAATTAAGATTGCCCTATAAAAAATTATAATGATTTTACAAATAACCTTTAGAAAATCTTGCATTCCAGTATTATTTATAGAAGAGAATGGCATTAAATCCTTGCAACACTTGAGAACATAATTCCTTACCAGAATTCATTTTTTATCTTTTATAGGGTCAGTTGTATCTTTTACAATGGGTTTGAAAAATAACTTTAAATTTTGTTTAGATATTTCTTCATTATATGATAAATCATGTTCAAGTAAATGTTTTATTATATTTGATGTGCTGATATTTTTTAAAAAGATTTGATTGGATAACTAATTAAAAAATTTACTAATATTTATTAAATAATCAAAAAATTTACTCTGAAAATGAAGAATTATTTTCATCCTCACCATCTTTATCAAGTGCTATTTGCAAGCATATATTACAAAAGACTTTATCTGTAGCAACACTGGTTCTCATATTATTTGTGTCAGTTTTTAATATTAAGGATCCAAAATGTTTCCATGCAAAAGAAGGTTTTGCTTTCAAGGATATACTATATTTTGTTACAGGGTATTGCAATGCTGCATCAATTATAATTGTTTTAGTCATGGTATTTTTATATATGTTATAATGGCAACAAAATAAAAATCATTAAATAAAATTTCTATTATGATAAAAAATAAATTTTATATAACGAGTTGTAAATTATTTGAATCAAAATAAAAGAATAAAATATAGATTTACCTTTTCAAATTTAATGTCCTAATCTTATTTTATCTAGCACGTTGGTCACAAACCTGCCCAAAGTGAGCAAATAAGGATTGTTACAAATCAAATTTATAGCAAATAATATTTATTAATTTTAAAAAATAAAATTGCATTTTTTAATAATTCAAAAAATATTTAATATTTTTCTTATATTCATAAATAATATATAAAATAAATAATAAAAAATATGTATCACGCCGCCACGCCGCCGAATTTTTACATCGGCGGCGGCGTCTTGAGCGCCGACAATTTTTTGGCGTGCGGCGTCGGCGTGGTCAAAATCATCGGTAGCGGCGCATTTGACCGGCGGCGCACATGTCTAGTAAAGATGTTAAAATAAAATTTCAGTGAAGATGTACCATAGATAGGTGACAATTGTCATAATCGTTATTTGTGAACTTTTTTGAATTTTTAAAGTAAATAGGTAAAAATATATATTGTAAAGATGTTAAAATAAAATTTCAGTGAAGATGTACCATAGGAAGGTGACAATTGTCATAATCGTTATTTTGAACTTTTTTGAATTTTTTTAAAGTAAATAGGTAAAAATATATATTGTAAAGATGTTAAAATAAAATTTCAGTGAAGATGTATTATAGAAAGGTGACAATTGTCATAATCGTTATTTTTGAACTTTTGTCATAATCGTTATTTGTGAATTTTTTTGAATTTTTTTAAAGTAAATAGGTAAGAATGTATATTGTAATGATGTTAAAATAAAACTTAAATGAATATGTACCATAGAAGAATGATAATTGTCATAATGGTTATTTAAAATATTTTCGAATTTTTAAAAGTGCTAACGGATCTTTGAAAAATTTTAACAATAGGAAGGCTAACAAACTTTTAACTTTTATTTTTCATTTAAAATTCATTAGATAAACATTAAAAAATATATGCTTATAAAAAAATATTTAAATACCAGATTATCGATTACTGTTTCGGATGTTATCGTCGGAAAAATTAATGAGTTAATAAAAATACTTGTAGGATTTGAATGCAATTATCGGGTCGAAGCATTTCGTCCTATAATTGATAAAATTATAAACATCAGAACTGTTTTTTTCGGCGAAAAGAGAACTTATTTTAGACGTGTAATATTTAGGGGAGACCAGGGCTAGTCGGCGCAAGGGGCTTGTCGGTTCAAAGGATTTTATTTTAAATCCAGTAAAGATTAAAATTTGAAATTTAATTCTAAAATAGAATTCTATAATATCCATAATTGAGGATGAAAATAATTTATAATATTTAGCTATTTAAATTTTTATCCGTTATGACATGTTTTTGACGTAAAAATTACAATATTTTCACTTTATATTATTAGGTTGTATTAAAAAATTAAAAGTTTAAACATGACAAAATGAACATTATATGAAAGTTAAATATCTATTTTAATATTTGGGAAAGTTTTAGATTGATATATAATGCTTAAATATATGTTAAGATCAAATTAGTAATATTACCACCATTGAGGTTAGTAGAATCGTGGCTAGTCGGAGCAATCAGTCAATTTTTATTATATTATTATGGTACCCAAATATATATGCAAAATTCAAAATAGTAAAATTTTTATTAAAAAAGATTATGAAGAAACTATAAAACTGTATGAAAATGATATCTCATTAAGAAAAATACCATTTATTACAGGTTAAAATATAATATTTTATAAATGTAAATATATTAAATAATAATTATTATATAAATTTATTAATGTGATTGATTTTTCATAATACATTTTAATTTTTATATAATATCAGACCTATATAAATATCTTGCAAACTAAAATCTTCATATACATATTGTGAATATATATTATATATTGTCACAGATATTATATATATTGCATATATAAATTTTAGCCTGATAATAAGATCAATTATTTAAATTAATTATATCTAGCAAACAAATATAATATATATATTTTTTTTTTAATTGACAATATAATATGATTCAAATTAATACATTTATGAACATTTTAGCATATAAATTTTAGCCTGATAATAATATCTATATTTAAAATGAATTATATCTAACAAACAAATATTTATATATATATCTATTTTAATTGACAATAAAACTTGATTCAAATTAATTCATTTTATTGGACATGAACATTTTAGTTATCAGATTATATTTAGCCTGATAATAAAATCAAATGATGCTATATATTTAAATATAGAATTAGATAAATTTTGAGTAAATTTATTATTAATAAATATAAACATTAATAAAAGATGTGTGTATTATATGTAAACAGGATTATAAAAGAGATTGGTTTCAATGTAGAATAGCTCTCTGTCAAAAAAGATTGTTATTTTATTTGTTATAATTATAAATAGAATATTATATAAATAAAGTATCATAGTTATATATTAAAATCTGCGAAAAAAATTTTTTGTCCCATAAGAAGCCTAATAAACCACTTGATTTTACTAGCCTCATCCATGATCCTACTAACCACGGGTTCGGGGCTACTAAGTTCAAAAAATGACTTTTACTAAAACCTTTCTAGAAAAATAATTATTAAATATTTAAAAATATAACAGTATATATTTATAGGTAGATGTTTAAGGTATCTATTGGTATTTTGTAAGATCTTATATGATCATTATTTTCGGAGCTATGATGATTTTGACAAAAATTGCGCCGACTAGCCCTGGTCTCCCCTACTTCCTACATTTTGATGAAAAAAATAGTAAAGGTATTTCTGAAAAGGCCTTGGAAAAACTTACACAATTGGCAATATCATCATTTAAATCGAATATTTTTTTATGCTCACTAAATTATGAAATTTTTAGTAAGGGTGAAACTAAATAATTTATTTTTTATTAGATGCTTAAAAGATTTGAAGAATGGGCATATTTAAATTTATATGGGGGGCGAGCGTGGTTTAAATTTTTTTATATGGGCAGGGCAAGACGAAAAGTCTATAAAAATTATTTAAATTTTTATTTCACATTTTTTTACCCATGATTAAATATCGCTTCAACAACTAAAAATTCTGCATTCTTTATGATAAAAAAAATTCAAAGGAAGACGCATTTAATTTAATTCAATTTATTAATAAATAAACGTACACATAATATAAAAATATTTTTATTAAAATACGCGGAAATATATAAATTTAAAAAATGTTAATATAATATCATTATAAAAGTTCTATGTCCCAGCAATCAATAGATAAACATTGTTTCAAAGTGATGGATGAAAGGCGGTTACGTTTTTTAGTCATGCATTCCACCGCTTTGCTAAAGATTCTTTCGCTGGCAACACTCGTAGTTTGCTGAGCCAAAAAGTTTCTGGCCATTAAAGACAAAGTTGGATATATTGAGCTGTTTTTTTTTGCCACGAGTACATTGGTTGTCGGACTAGCTACTTCCTCTTTTAAATATGTATCTATTTCGTCTGTGGCATGTTGTGGAATTTCATAATTAGCCCTAAATAATAAAGACAATAATAACTATGTAATCATATTTACCTTCTTAGTTTATTATGTATACGCACAGAATAAGGCATGGCTTCCATATCGGGCTCATTGTAATCGTACGCTGACGATCCTGACATTGTACTTTTATATTTAATATATAACGTTTCGAAATTTTTAAAATAATTAAGATTATTTATAAATTTAGGCAAAAATTTTTTCTTTGTCTTTGGGTCTAACAAATACGATATATAATTTGAAAGACTATTTATGTGTTTCATATATATCTTTGATTTTTTTAACATAACACTAGCAGCATTTTTTAATGTTTCGTTTTCATGATTTTCACTAACATCTTCTAGTGTTTTGACAATTTCATCTATAAATAAAACTGCCGAACCAATTGTAGAATTTGTATCTGAGGATATTTCTTGGGTAATATTGAAGAATGGTTTCAAAAATATTTCAATATCTTTTAAAAATTTGGCCTCTTCATTATTTATAATTATTTGATTATCAGGAAGGCTGCCTTTCTTGCCTAAATCATTTACCACATCAATATTCTTTAAATATAAAATTAAATTTAAAAATGGTGTTTGTTATTACTTTGTTAATTAAGGAAATCATTAAGAATTTGGAATTCCCTCTTGTGATGACATCAAGTGGTATACGAGTCCCACCTGATAATTCCATATATTCCTTCATAAATTTGGAGGAATTATGCAACTTTTTAACGAATTTATTTATTTTTTCCAATTTTTTATTCATGATATTCATTCCTGAGCTCACTATTATATTAGAGACTCTGAGTCGGGTGAACTGTCTTTTTAACAACACAATGTCTTTTGTTGCTATATAGTTGACCGAGGCCGGCAAAACGACTCATATTCAAACCGGTTAACTAGTCATGAGTCGGCTGAAGCCCGACCCGTGCACTATTTTTGAATAAAATATCTTTATCATTTCTCTAAATTGGTATCATATTAAATAACTTCTGAACCGGCTTGAACCCAGGCCGAAAACACTAATTAGGTATAATAATTTAAATTAAATATATAAAAAAATATTAAAACTTACATCATCTTCATTCTTCTGTTGAGAATCCATAATAGTAGTAGTATTTTCTAACTCCAAATCTCTAAATAAGGTCTTTTTTTTTATAAAACATTGGGTTTATTAGTTTTAAATATAAAATTAATATAAATTACTTCATCTTCTACTATCTCTTGAGAATCCATCATAGTAATGGCATTGCTTGAAGAAGAGGATAAAGATAAACTACTCATTATAAATGTAAATTATTTTTAAAATGATTTTTTTTTAAATATAAATTAAAATAAGAATTTTTTTAAAAATAAAAATTTTATACAAAAACTTACTGGTGCCATCAAGGCGCTATAATCATTGAAATTTAAAATAATAAATATAATATAAATAATACATTTTAATGAAATAATTTAAAGAACCAAAAAATCTTGCTAAATTATTATTACAAATTTTAAATAACATTGGGAAAGAGAAACGTAAGAGGGATTTATATTTTCTTAAACAATAAATTAAAGAAATGTACAAAAAATAATGGTGCTAGGCCTTAAAAAATCAATAAACTTACTTTAAAATTTAAATTGTTATGTAATTAAAAAGTGTGCTCTCATCTCATAACCTCATCTAATCTTATGTTGTGATTTAATCTTGACGTGGATGCTACCTATTTCAAACAGTGCATTTAAAATTTAATAATTAAATTTTCTTTTCTTTTGGGCCACAGGTGAAATCATATTTTTATTCATGTCGATTTATATTCATCCATGTATATAAAATCTAAGAAGTTTATTAATCTCATAAACTTTTCCCACATATAACATCCACAACAATTATTTGTACTTTGGACAAATGTTAAAATTTTATGAAGCATATATTTTTTAATGTTACCTGATAAATTTTAAATAAAAATTAAAAGTAAAAAATTTTTAACCGGTCCGCTCGTAATTTTTGATATTTTTTAGCTAGTTCGCCCAATATGATAAAGGGGCGTAACTAAAAGTCTGCTCGTTTCAGCTAAAAATGTGAAAAATAGACAATTGTTACTTTTCTATGGTACATCTTAACTGAAATTTTATTTTAACATCTTTACAATATATATTTTTACCTATTTGCCTTGAAAAAATTTAAAAATGTTCACTCATAACGATTATTACAGTTGTCACTTTTCTATGGTACATCTTCACTAAAATTTTATTTTAACATCTTTACAAAATATATTTTTACCTAATTACTTTAAAAAAATTAAAAAAAGTTCAAAAATAATGATTATGACAATTGTCACTTTTCTATGGTACATCTTCACTGAAATTTTATTTTAACATCTTTACAATATATATTTTTACCTTTTTGTTTTAAAAAAATTCAAAAAAGTTCACAAATAACGATTATGACAATTGTCACCTTTCTATGGTACACCTTTGAAAATTTATTTTAACATCTTTACAATATATATTTTTACCTATTTGTTTTAAAAAAATTCAATAAAGTTCACAAATAACGATTATGACAATTGTCACCTTTCTATGGTACATCTTCACTGAAATTTCATTTT